AAGGGAAAGGGGGCGTGTTCTGGGCGCGTGGGCGGGGCCTGGGCGCCCACGGCCGCTCCTGATTGGCTCAGGAGGGGTGGGCGGGGCTGAACTTCGCCTCCGAGGCCGAGGCCGCGACCTTCGAGGGGAGGGTCCAGGAGAGGCTGAGACGGCGACAGCAGCGGGCAGGTGAGAGACCCCGCCCCAAAACACACCTGGGGACCCGAAAAACACACCTGGGGACCCAAAAATACACCTGGGGACCCGGAAACACACCTGGGGACCCAAAAATACACCTGGGGACCCGGAAACACACCTGGGGACCCGGAAACACACCTGGGACCCCGAAAAACACACCTGGGGACCCGGAAACACACCTGGGGACCCAAAAATACACCTGGGGACCCCGAAAAACACACCTGGGGACCCAAAAACACACCTGGGACCCCGAAAAACACACCTGGGGACCCAAAAATACACCTGGGGACCCAAAAATACACCTGGGGACCCCGAAAAACACACCTGGGGACCCGGAAACACACCTGGGACCCCGAAAAACACACCTGGGGACCCCGAAAAACACACCTGGGGACCCCGAAAAACACACCTGGGGACCCAAAAATACACCTGGGGACCCGGAAACACACCTGGGGACCCGGAAACACACCTGGGGACCCCGAAAAATTCACCTGGGGAGCCAAAAATACACCTGGGGACCCCGAAAAACACACCTGGGGATACAAAAAACACACCTGGGACCCGGAAACACACCTGGGGACCCCGAAAACCTGCCCCTCCCCCCTCTGACCCCTCCCCTTTTCTCCCCCCACAGAGAAGCAGTCGCTGCCCCCTCCCCCACCCCCCGGCAATGGTGAGTGGGGGGATTTTGGGGGGGATTTTTCAAAAATTTGGGGTTTTGGGGGGGGGGGGGGTTTGAAGAGATTTTAGGGGGTTGGGAGGATTTTGGGGGGATTTTGGGGTCTCCACCCCCCTGACCCTCCCTGTGCCCCCCCAGAGCGTCGCGGGAGCCTCCCCAGGACCCCCAACCCTGACGGTGAGTGGGGATTTGGGGGGTCCCGCCCCACTGTGGGGGGATTTGGGGTCCCGGGGTGGATTTTGGGGTCTCTGGGATAATTTTGGGGTCTCTGATTTTTTTTTCCCCTTCTGGACGAGTTTTAGGTTCCCCCAGAGCTCACCTGACCCCATAACAATTTTATTTTTTTAATTTTAATTTTTTTTTCCTCTCCCCCTTTTCCAGGCCCCCCCATCCCGGCCGTTCCCATCCCCAATCCCGACATCACCCCCAGCCGCTACCGGGGGCTGCCCAACCCCCCCTCCGGCCCCTCCCCCACCCCCGGACCCCCCCCCGCCTCCGGGGACCCCAAAAAGGCCGGGGGGGGACGCAAGAAAATCTCCAAGGCCGATATCGGGGCCCCCTCCGGCTTCAAGTGGGTCTGGGGGGGATTTGGGGGGGTCTGGGGGGGATTTTGGGGACCCTGAGTTGATCTGGGGGGTCCCGAGGTGATTTTGGGGGTGCCCAGGATGAATTTGGGAGATTTTTGGGGTCTCCTGGGAGGGGTCTGAGATCCCTAAAATCTCTGTGGGGTGACCCCAGACCCCCAAAATCCCCCTGGGCTGACCCGGGGGGGTCCCCCCATCCCCCAGGACACCCCAAAACCCCCAAATTTACCCCAAATTTCCCCCCGAAATCCCCCCAGACCAGCGTGGGAACCCAGTGCGACCCCGAGGAGATCATCGTGCTCTCGGACTC